TGGAAACTTCATTTCCTTTGGAAGGTAAGAAGGAAGAAGTGTGGGTTTAATGTTTAGATTTTAAGAATTTGAAACTCATTGGTGTGATTATTTCCTTCCAATGACACAAATCATAGTTCCTCTCTAGCTTAGTAGATGGATTTTGAGTTGCTGTTGCTCAAAAAAGTTCGTTAAAGAATAATCAATCAGATGTTGAGCATCTCCAAATGTAGATGATTCTCAGTCAAGCAATGTACTCTGGATTCATCACTGGAGCCATAGTTGAAGACTTACTTTAAAGTTTGTAAGGATCTGCCAGAACTTGCACTCAAGAACCCAGGGTTAACTCCGTGTAAAAATAAGGAATCAGATTAGAACTTCATTGTGACAACCACAAATCACTAAAAAAAAAATGGTTTAGCTGAGGAGAGACATTCCCATCTAGCTAACACAAATAATAGACAGATTGAACCAATCTAGTGGAGTTAGATTCCTGTAGCAGTCTTAGGCATTCATGACAGGAATTTGCTGCCTACAAGTCAAAGTACTATATGATATGTTTCTATAATTTTCTTGAAGAGATGTCTTAGTATAATAGCAGGTTCTAATTTCAAAAAGACAAACTAAGTTATATTGTTTTTCTGTGTTGTGAGAATGAAATAACAAAGTGTTCTTCTAGAAAGGCTTTGGTATGTGCGATGTTGGGTTATGTTTTTGAAAACGGGGAGCATATATAATCCCGATTCATTCTTTTTTCTTTTTATAAAAATCTGTTTTATTGATATTTTGTCATTATATCACAGTCACTTTTAGGAAAAAAATCCCATTCCTCCAGAATGAACCCTTTCCTACAACAACAAAATAAGCAAAAATAATTAGCAGGAGAGATAGGGTCTGATACTGTATATATTCTTCCTTAGAAATCTCTGCTAGCCCCACACCTAGCCCCCTTCATTTGAGAGAAAGGAGATATATTCCATTATTTGTTATCTAGGACCATCTCTGCTTTTCAAATTATTCAAAGTTTGATTTCATTTTAGTGATCATTTTCCTTTACATTGCTATAAGTGTCTAATGTTCTTTTGACTATATACATTTTATACTACATTAGTTTAGACTAATCTTCCCATATTTCTCTAAAATCTTTAAATTTATAATTTCTTATTACATTACAGTTATGTAACATAATTATTCAGCCATTCTATAATTTAATGAACACTCAAGTTTTTTTTTTTTGAGGTTTTGTGATCGCAAAGAAAACTACTATGAGTTTTTTGTGTATTGGACCATTATTTCTGCCTTTGATTTCCTAAAGAATATGCCCAGAAGTGGCCTATGCTCAAAGAGTGACAACACTGATTATTCTCATTTCTTGGCCATTTGCCCTTTTTTAAAGTGTGAAGTAAAACCTCACAGTTGTATTTAATGTATCTTACTACAAATGATCTAGACAATGTTTTCAAATTATATAATCACTATTTAGTTAAAAATTTCTCCCCTTTAGTTATAGTTTTTCTCCAAGGACTACTATACCTGTATTCCCTAAGATTTAGTATTTGGTCCCATTTCTATCATTCTTTTTAATATAGCTATTCATCATTACAATGATTTCTTCTTTAGTCCACTCATCATATAGAATGTCATTATTTAGCCTGTATTTGATTGTGTATCTTTTGTTCATATTTCCTTTATTATTTACTGCTTTATTGTATTATGGTCTGTAAAGGATGTTTATTATTTATGCTATTTTATATTTAGTTATGAGTTCTTTATTCCTTAACATATCAATTTTTAATAAATGTATTATTGATATTGTGAAATATATACATATATATTAATATTCCCATTCAGAAGTGCCATAAATCAAACAAATCTAAATTTTCCAACAATCCAATGAGTTCTATATTTTCCTTTTTTTTAACCTTCTTTTAGATTCTCTTTTCCAGTTCAGATGCAGTAACTTGTAACAACAATTTCCAAGAAATATTTTGAACTCCATTCACTTCTTATTCCTTACCCTTTTAGAATACTATAGAACCTATTCCTAGGAATTTTAATTCTCAAAGGCAGCAATTGGGTACAGCAGGGGATTTTTTAAAGAAAATAAACAAAAATACTTTCTCATCCCACACTTATATGTAGTCCTAGCGCTATCTACAAGATAACAAACATTTCATGTCTTAGTCTTACATTAAGTGTTTAACTTGGTTTTGTTTAGTTAATATGTTAAATACCCTGATCATCTCTTAGTTCTCCTAATGGAATGTCTTGATATTTTCTTTTTTGTTTAAGCCCTATTACCATTTTTGAGAAATAGGCTCAGCTTTGTAGGATATTTGGGTGGGGGAGTAAACCAAGCATTTTGGTTTTTCCTTTTTTGCTTTTCAGAATATCATATTACAATTTTTCTTTGATTTATTATAATAAATAACAGTAGTGTGATATTTTGATTGTCTTTGACTATAAAATCTCCCCCCTTTGGTGACTGTCAAATTTATTGTTTAATATTATAATTCTGAAATTTGACTATGAAAATCTCAGTGAGTTAAACCTTGGGTTTCTTTTTGTTGGCATTCCATAGATTCTCTCAAACTATATCATCTGCTTCTAATATTTCTGGACAATTTTCCTGGTATTTTCAAATATTTTATGATAATTTCTTAGATTTTTTTCTCTTCAAACTAGAAACCCAGTAGAAATATTAAACTCATTATGTCTAAGATTGAACTCCCCTCTTCCAAATGTCCCTGTTTCTGTTAAAGGCACCACGAACTATTCGGAGGCTCAGGCTTGTAATCTTGCATTTTCCTCCACTCCTCATTCTTTTTTATCTCATATATCCAGCCTAGTACCAGATCTTACCATTTCTACCTCCCCAACATTTCTTGTATTTGACCCCTTCTCTGTACTCACACATTTGTGACCTTAGTTAAGACCACATTACCTTTCATCTAGATTATTGCAACAGTCTTCTAATTGGTGCCTCAAGTCTCTCACCACTTCAATCAATCCTTACTGTCAAAGTGATTTTGGGAAGTGGCTCTTATTTTATAAATTTGACTCAGTTCCCTATATATTTTATAAATGAGACCATTATCAGAGAAACTTGTAAATTTTTTATATTATTTCATTACCTTTTAGCAAAATGTAGTTTCCCAGATTATATCTTTTAATTAGATCTATTTTTGCTTTTGCTTTTTTTGAGATCATGATAGTTGTTGCTGCTAATGCTGCTGTTTGTTATTCAGTTGTTCAGAAGAAGGAAAATGTCAAATATGTACAAAAACACTTATAGAAGTTCTTTTCATGGTGGCAAAGAATTGGAAATTGAAAAGATGCCCATCAATTGAGAAGTAGCTGAACAAGTTGTAGTATATGATTGTGATGCAATAAAAAATGATGAGCAGGGTACTTTCAGAAAAACCTAGAAAGACTTATATGAATTGATGCAAAGTGAACTGAGTAGGGCCAGGATATTATTGTACACACTAACAGTAATATTGTATGATGGTGAATTGTGAATGACTTAGCTATTCTCAACAATACAATGCTACAAGACAATTCTGAAGGACTTACAATAAAAAAAATGCTATCCACCTCCAGAACTGATGCCATCTGAATGCAGATCAAAGCATACTTTTTTACTTTCTTTATTTTGGTTCTTCAATGTGTTTTTTTGTTCTTTAAATTTCTCTTTTTGGCTTATATTGCTATAGCTAGCGTTTCTAGTAAAATACTGAATAATAGTAGTGATAATGGGCATTTTTTTTTGGTCTGTATTCTCTTTTGCAAAATGGCAAACACGTAAATATGTTTTACATGACTGCATGTATAATCTATATTAAAGTACTTGCCTTCTCAAGGAGATGGCAAGGAAAGGATGGGGGGGGAATTTGGAACTCAAAAGTTACAAAAAATGAATATTAAAATTGTTTTTATGTGTAATGGAGAAAAACTAAATATTGTAAAATGATCCACTGTAAATGACTTAGCTATTCTGATCAATACAATGATACAAGATAATTTTGAAGATCTTATGATGAAAAATGCTATAAACCTCCAGAAAGTTAACTGATAAAATCTAAGTACAGATTGAAGGGACATCTTGTTCTGTGGAATGGAAACCAGTCAGGGTAGGGGATGCCAAGTGAAGAGAGCAGGGTTTGACACAAAAGATTGACTGCTGGTAATAATACTAGGAGTGACAGTTTAATGAAATGGTGGTCAGTTATTTTTTTCTCTAAGGATTTTTGTGGTGGATTATTTTAATTTCTCTTTTTCTTGTCAGTAATGTTCTTGTTATATTGGAGGGGTATTTTTCTTGTTTAAATTTTTTGCTTAGACTTTATACCATAACTACCATTACATGTTACTGTTTTTAATCAGCTCTTACCTGATCAAGGTCAAGATGCAAGGTGAAAAGGAATCTTTCCAGGTAAAAATGCATAATTTAAAGTCATGTAGTACATTTCTTATTTTCATCTTAGTAATCCTGCCTCAGGATAAATCTTTTTAAAATTCCATAGGTCATAACCCAGTAAGTCATGCTGACCTTATTTTGTACAGTAGGAAAATTACTCTGATTTTTATCTGTTATTCTTAGAAGCATTTTATACTGGCATACAGGTTCATGAGCAAATTCCTTGAACAACATTTGAGTCACCAAATGCTAACTATAAAATGCCATAAAATGACAATCTGTTATATACAATTCTATGTGAAAATTTTATATCATAATTACTGTCACTTTGATATGTTTAGCATTCACATGAATATATCCACAATACTATCTTAATGAAGACAGTAAAATATCGAACACCTTCAGATGACCCTACCAAAGGAATGCCTTAGGCTCTGCAAATTTGGACTATCATGTAGCATTTTTGTTGAAAGAAGTAAATATAAATGCCATTTGAAGGAGAAGTTACCAGACTGAGACAAGTCCTGGCATTTAGTTTTCTAATAGATCTTAATTTGGATATCATCCAAAGTCAATAAAACTTGTTCAAGCAGGATCTTACCTGGTTTTCACCACATCTAGAGGATGCATCAGGCAGATTTCCATAAGACCTGAAAGATGATAAAGAAAAGGCTGGTAGCCATTTATATAAACACCAATTCTTATTTTTTCCAACTCTTAATTACTTACCTACAAAGAATGGTCTAAATAAGAGACTTCGGGGAGCAGACTGCCAATTAAAAGTAAATGGCTAATGATGAATAAGAAGACATAGATAAGGCTTCCACCAAACAAATAAATTATATTGAAGACTTGATGAAGAATGATTTTTTCTTCATGAGTGAATTTTCAGTAAAAATTCAAGCATCAGTTGTGTACATCTATATGAACATGTTACAGCCTATTTTCAGTAAAATTTGCGAAAAATCTCACAAACAAATATGTTGTTTTGTCCATACACTTAAACAAACCCTACCCAGGTGTGGCGAAGAATCATATTTGACTTGTATGTAGTAGTTTTAAGTTTATAAAGCATTTTATATACATTATCTCTGTAATAGGGTACTGATCAATAAGGATACAGTCATTTGGGCATGAACTTCATGCTCTACCTGTTGCCAAACCACAGAGGGTGGTTGTGCAAAGCATGTGCAATTATTCTGTGATTATTTCCTGTTCACTTACTTGCATGGTGATGAAAAGACTTTTAATTGGCTGCTGAGCCATGACATAGTGTGCATACGAAAGGCTCCAAAAGAAAACCCCAGTTAGAGTTCTCTTTGCTGATGCGAAGCAAGGAAGAAATGATTGTAACACATCCTCCAGGGAAAAAGAGATACCAGGAGCTGCTTTATCTCCACACTCAGGCTGTGGCTGTGATGCTACTGTAAACACATTGGCATTGATGTTTTTCTTGCATTTCACTCTTTTCTGCTCTTGGGAGAATAAATGTAGAGAGAGAATGGACGAGCTTATGAAGTGGTAGGCATAGAAAGATTGGAAGAGTAAAAGTAACGAATTGAGGGCAACAAATGTGCCACCTATATTAGGGCAAAGGAGATGATTCAGGAAAGGTAAATGAAAAGGAGCAGTCATATTGGTAGGAAAAGAACCATAAGAGATTAGTGAAACAGAAGCAAAGGGAGAGAGAGTAGTCAGGAGGCCACAGTCAAAAGTAAGAAAAGCAGCACTGAAATTAAGGAGAATGTGAACAAAGAAAAGGCCATTGGATTTGGCAGTTAAGAGATTATAACTAACTTTGGTATAATCAGCTTTAGTAGAGTGGTAGAATCAGAAACAGCATTGCAAGGAACTTAGATATTAATAGATGGTAAGAATCAATCTATCAATATATACATTTTATTTACTCTTTAAAATCAAATTATTATTATTATTATTGACCAACATGATCATTTTCAATATGTACAGAAAATTAGAAAAAAAGGATGGTATATAAAACTGTACTGGCACATATAATGTTTGCCTTTTTATCCTCTCTACATAAAGCTTGGAGTATTTTTGTTTTTTATAATTCAAAATTAACATGGTGGTTCTGACACTGTTTTGTTTATGTACCTTTTTGAAATTCCTTCTGTTCCTTTCTATTTATTTGTTTAATGATTCATTGATGCTCCTTTATTCCTAGTTTTTAGTATGACTACCACTTCTGCCAAATCTTCCCTAAGTCCCTCACTATCTCCAGTCACACAAAACAAATCTATGCATTGGCAATATCCAAAACATGTCTCATTTTCACCTCTAGTTCATTGTCTCTCGGTGAGGAGATAGGAATAATTATTCATTAGCAGCCTTCTATCAAGAGTCATAATTGGTCATTGCACTGAACAGTCTTGAGTCTTTTAGGGTTGTTTTTCTGTACAATGTTGAAGTCATTGCACTATTCATTCTCTTGGTTTCACTCACTTCACTTATCATCAGTTCATACAAGTCCTCTCAAGTTTCTCTAAATCTTCCCTTTACATTATTTCTTATGGGATAATATATTTCTATTACTTTAATTTACCATAATTTGTCCAGTCATTTCTCAAATAATAGGGCCTCATTTTGTTTCCAATTCTTCCCCACAACAAAAAATGCTGCAGTACACACACACACACACACACACACACACACATATACACACACATATACACATACATATTTGCGGTATATATTTGTGTCTATCTATCCTTTTACTCTTTCCTTGATATCTTTATGGTATAAGCTGAATAATATTACCACTGGGTATATACAATTTTAATGACTTTGGGGGTATAATTGCTTTCTAGAGTAGTTGGACCATTTAATAACTTCAGCAACAGGGCATTAGTGTACCTGTCCTGCAATAGCCCCTCCAAAAACTACCATTTTCTTTTTTCATCATCTTTTGCAATCTGCTGGATGTGAGCTGGAAACTCAAAGTTGTTTTATTTTGCATTACTTTGCATTTCTCTTATTGTTAGTGATTTGGAGTATTTTTTTTTATATGGTCATAGATAGTTTGATTTTCTTCTTTTTAGAATTGTCTATTCATCTCCTTTAGTCATTAATCTATTGGATAATGATTCTTATTCTTTTATATTTGTGTCACTTCTCTACGTATCTTGGATAGCATAAATTTGCTGTAAAGATTTTTCCTTAGGTTCTTTCCAATTCTCATTACATTGATTTGTTTATGCAGAAACTTTTTAATTTCATAGAATCAAAATTATACACATTATGTCCTGGGATCCTCTCTATACCTTTGTTTGACCAAGAAATCTTCCTTTATCCATAGTTGTGAAAGGTATTTTCTCTCTTATAATTTGATTATCATATGACCTTATAATACATCTAGATCTTGCAACCATTTGAAGCTTATATTCTGTGGTGTGAGATTTTGAAATAACCCTAATACTGCCATAATGTCTTTCTGCTTTCCCAGCATTTTTTTTTTGCAATGAATAGTCCTTACCCCAATAGTTGGAATTCTTGAGTTCATTAAATATGCAGATATATTTATTTGGTTTTGGATCTTCTAAACCTAATCTATTCTACTGATCAACTTGTCTATTTTTCCATCAGTAACAAATTATTTTGATGATTACTGCTTTGTAGTAAACTTTAAACTTTTACTATAGGGTCACTTTCTTCCCAATTTTCTTCATTATTTCTCTTGAGATTCTTCACCTTTTGTTTTTGTAGGTGAAATTTTATCCTTTAAATTCTATAAAATAACCTTTGGGTAGTTGATTGGTATGACACTGAATCTGCTATTCATTAAAGTAAACTAACATTTTTATTATGTTGGCATGGCCCAACTCTGAGCAAGTAACATTTCTTCCATTATTTAGATCTATCTTATTCCTGTAAATATTTTTAGTTATATTCATATAACTCCTATGCATGTCTTGGTAAGTGAAGTCTCAGAAATTTTATACATTTTGTAAGTATTTCAAATTAAATTTCTTTTTCTGCCTCTCCTTGTTAGGTTTTGTTGGTACTATACAAAAAAGTCAATGACTTGTAGAATTATTTTATATCCCATTTCTTTCTGAAGCTATTTTTCCTGTTGATTTTTTAGTATATTCTGCAACTTTCTCTGTTCATGGTGTGTTTAGTGTTTCAGTAATGTTTTAGATAACTTATATTTTTGATAAATATTTGTCCATTTCACTTATGGTGTCTGTTTTATTTGCATATAATTGGTGGAAATAATTTCTAATAATTCACTTAATTTCCTCATTTGTCATAAATTCTCAATTTCCACTTTTTATATAGGAAGTTAATTTTTTCACTTTTCATTTGATGTTTTATTATTGTTTTTGGTTTTGTTGGTCTTTTTTAACCAGCTCCTAGCTTTATCAATACAATGAGTTTGGGGCTTTTTTGGCTTTTAATTTTGATTATCTATTTGATTTCCAGAATTTTTTTTATTTATTTAAGGTTTTTGATTGGCTTTCAGCTTTGTTTATTTCTTATCTTGAGAATTTCTACTTTTCACATTTGCTTACTGTTTTTGATTTATTGCTTTACTGATCATTTTTCAATTGTGTGCCAAATTTTTTCTTTCTTCTATTATTTAAAGTTTTTAAAAATATACATTTTCTTCAAAGGCCTGCTTTGCATTCTTCCCTGTAGTAACAGTGCAAGGTCTATATACCTGAAAGACATCAAAGAAAAAGGGAAAAGATCTATACGTACAAAAAAAATTGTAGCAGTTCTTTTTGTGGTGGCAAAGAATTGGAAATTGAAGGAGTACCCATCAACTGGGGAATGGCTGAACACATTATGGGATATTAATGTAATGGAATACTACTGTGCTGTAAGAAATGATGAAGAGCAAGACTTCAGAAAAACCTATAAAAATTTATGGGAACAGACGAAGAGTGAAGTGAGCAAAACTAGAAAAACAATTTATATAACGACAACATTGTAAAAACAAACAATTTTGAAACTTAGGAATTCTGATGGACAATAATGAACTCTTACACATGTTATCGCCTCTGCATAGAAAGGTGACATATTCAGAGTGTATATTGAGACATATTTTCAGGATAAGGGCAATGTGGGATTTTTTTTCCTTGACTATAAATAAAACCAGGGGTTTTGTTTTTCTTATTTTTTTATTGGGGAGGACAGAAAAGGAAAGAAGATAGACTTTTTCTGATTAAAAAAATAATTTAAACAAACAAAAGAAAAATATCTCACTGAGACATCTCTAATCAAATTGTTGTGGTATTCACCCACCTTGGGTTACCCCCAGTCAGAGCACTACTTCAGATATCAGGCTCTTGCAGGACATCCCAGTCACTTAAGAAAAATATTTAACATAATAGGACCAGTGACAGATCCATTAAAAACATCCCTCCAAGGTAATATGGAGTCATTAAGAAACCTAATTATTCAAAAACAATAAATCTACCTTATTGTACTGTCATCTAGCCCATGTTCTTTCTTTGTCCACTAGGATAACATAAGACTCTTTGCCAAGTGTTTTGCTAAAAATCTAAGTAAAGATACTACCAGTGAGATTACAGATTATCAATATCCATATAAAATAAATTTTCAGGTTATTAATAATAAAAGTAAGCCAAATAAAAACACCCAGAAAATTGGTGATGTTGACACA